CGGTGAAAGGGGCCGGGGCTCCTGCCCTGCTCTGCTGTGTTTTATTATATTTTAGTTAGAAGCGTTGTTGTTGTTTTAACCCCCGGGAGGCGGTGGGTTCCCGTCCCTGCGTGTGCCTCCCACCCCACCCTGGGGTCGGTCCCAGGCTGGGCTCGGTGAGCTCAGAGCTCTTTTCCAGCCGAATCCATTCCCTGGTTCCGTGATCCCTGATCAGCTCTGTTACAGCAGCGCTGCCTCCAGGGAGCTCAGGATTTGTGCGTGGGTCCCTTCCCAATCACTCAGTGGCTCCATTATATATTAAAGCAGCTACTAAACATATTTCCTATGTTAAACATTCGCTTTCTCAAACTTAAAAAAAAATGGCATTACTTAAAAAAAACAACGTTCATTATTCTATTATTCTATTTTTATTATTCTATTAATACAGTTTTTTAGTATTAAAATCCGCTGGTGCCCGGGTGAAGCAGAACCCTGGGGAGTGACCCCAGGGCACACTGTGTCCTGACCCTGGAGGATTGAGTAAAAAGGCAAAAATTGCATAATATTGTTACATAAATCTTGGAGAGTCGCCCTCAGGGCTATAGAAAGCTCAGGGTTATTGAATGCCCAGTTTCGAGGTCTTTTGCCCCTGCTGATGTTGCAGGATTTTCTCTTGGCTGGGCATGAGGGTTGTGTTTGTTAGGAGCAGCTAAATCTGGCCTGGTGCTTGATAAGCCTGCTAAGCAGAGTGCTGAAAATAATCCACCTGGCACAGAAGAATAATGCAACCCTTCCTTCAGATGGAGCAACGCTGAAGGGAATTGACCAAAGCAATGCCCTGGTCCTGCCAGCAAAAAAAGCCAAGAAGAAAAAAGCCCCGTGTGTTGTGCAGCAGCAGAAGAAACCCCTGAGCAAGAAACAGAAGAAAAACCTGCAGAAGGTTTTGGAGCAGAAGGAGAAGAAAAAGCAGGTATGTTGCTGTTTCTGGCAACTGCAAGCTTCTCAAATCTTGAATTCTTAAATTCTCTTAAAATGAGGGTTTGGTATTGGTGCGTGGGGAGGGTGGGTGATGATGAGGATGGTGAGGGGTGTGAGCTGTCAGGGGTGTCTGAGGTGTGAATTCTCAGGGGTGTGCAGGTGCTGGGGTGATGCTGCAGCAGCTCCCCCTTTGCTGGGCATTGGGGCAGAGATGCAGCACCCAGGGGCTGCTGAGGGCAGCTCGAGGGGAGGAAGGCACTCCTGCCTTCTCATTCTGCAGGAATGCATCCTCTGTGGGCCCAGGTTCAGTTCTGCACAAGTGTTGTGGAATACATTAGTGGCAGGCAGTGATATTTTGTCATTTTTAAAGCTCTGTGTGGAATGGGTGCTGTGCACTCCTGCAAACCTCCCTGCACCCCAAGACCTGTCAGTGCTTCTGAAATGCCTGTTGTGTATTTTCAGACATTTTTTTCTGTCTTTGTAAAACCTTTCCAGGCAGAATCCCTGCTCCTGTCAGTGCCTGGACAGTGACTCTCAGAGAGCAGCTCTGGTTTTGGGGCAGGCTCACCCTGTGGCTCACACCCTCTGCCATGCCATGTCCCAGGGCAGGCATTTGGGGCTCCCTTTGCTCCAGTCCTCATTCCAGTGCTTCAGTTCCAATCTCTTTTCCTTGCTGCTGTTTCTGGGGTGCAGCTGAGCTGCTCACTGCTCTGATGTCAAGTCCCCATTTCTATTTTTACTCTGGTTCAGGGCTGAAATCAGGGAGGAGTGACCCAGGAGCAGCAGGAAGCTTTTCCAGCTGCACAGCAGGGTTTGCAGAGCACAGAGCACACCTTGGAACGCTCAGATCTTGCCATGAAATCCTTTCCTGGTCAAAGCAAGCACTGATTTTGGTTGTTTTCCCCAAACAGAGAGCTGAGCTGCTGAGCAAGCTGAACGAGGTGCAGGCTTCTGAGGCAGAAATGAAACTCCTGTACACAACTTCCAAACTGGGGACTGGGGGCCGCATGTTTCAGGCTAAAAGGTAAAGGGATTTTGGGGTGGAACCCCTGCAATTGATCATTCTGTTTGAACAGCACCATCCTCAGCTTTCCCTTGATTTTTTTTTTCTTCTTCTTGGTGCAAACAGGTTCTTCAGAAGGGATGGAGTTAAATAATTTGCTATTTTTATCTGATAATGGGATAGTTATTTTCTTGGTCTTTCCTATGGGATGAGGATGAGGAGGGTGACACAATCTACAGGCTTTTAGCAATTGTGCTAAACTGAAAAATTGGTGGATAAACACTTATTTTCTTGTGCTGGAAGACATTTACTGATGTTAAGCATAGCTGATGGATTTATCAAGAGCTGCATTTCTAGATTAAACTACAAAGATGCCTTCAGAAGAAATGGATAAACCCCAGGATAGGAAATGCTTAGATACAAATCCATCCATCAAAGCCAAGGCTTTACCTGNTTTTGCTGTGACTTCACGGAGCTCTGCCACAGCCATGCCCATGGTGCCCTGCTGGGAGCTGCTGCTGGGGCACAGGGGACACAGGGACAGCCCCAGCTGGCTGCTCCTGCAGGACAGGACCTGGACCTGCTCCTGGACCTTCCTGTGGCCACTGGAGAGCCCATCCCTGTGTGAGCAGCGGGCACAAGTGCCAAGGATGGGCTCTGGCTGCTGGGATTAGGAACTCCACGGGGTTCCAGGGCTTTCATCTGCCTGCTCTGGGACCCAGCTTTGCCATCCTGCAGGGTTCTTCCCATTCCTGGATGTTTTCAGCTGCCTCTTCTGGGACCCAGCTTTGCAATCCTGCAGGGTTCTTCCCATTCCTGAAGGTTTTCGCTTGCCTGCTTTAGGACCCAGCTTTTGGAATCCTGCAGTTCTCTTCCCTCTCTGGAGGATTTTCACCTGCGTCCTTTAGGACTCGGCCTTTGCAATCCTGCAGTGCTTTTCCCATTCCTGGAGGTTGTCACCTGCCTGCTCTGGGACCCAGCCTTTGCAATCCTGCAGTTTCCCCCTCAGGCAGGGCGGCTCCTCCAGACGCACACCGCTGTAGATACCCGATGTGTCCTGTGGGATGTGACGCTTTCCCAGTGGTTTTTGGGTGTCAGAGTGCAGTGCACAAACCTGGTGTGGCTCAGTGCTGTGCTTCTAGCGCGTCCTTCACGTCGTGCTTTGCTTCTCGAGGCTCGTTGCGTCGTCGCTGTGGATAGACCAGTATCAACCTTAGCTCTTCGGTGGTGTGGAAGTGTTTTAAGTGTGGTTTGCCTCACATACTGATCCGTATTTGGCAGCTAATGGCGTTAAGTGACCATGAGTTCTCTTTGTCTGGGTTGGAAAATAAAAGGTTTTATTGTATCCGCATGTATTTTAAAATTTTTGGATAATTCATCGACCTGTGATGACAGCACATGTAAAAACCGATCTTTTCCTTTTATTCAGAAGTTCTATTTGCTGTGGTAGCACTTGTTGTTGGCACTGATGGTAGTGATTTCCATCCTGTTTTGTACATCAGGTTTCATGATTACAGTGTTTCAGTTTGTACAATTGTTTATGTAAAAACGATTTGGTCTGAAGAGATGCCGTGTGTTCACTTCTGATCCTAGACACATACAAGATCCTACTGGTAATACTGTTAGTAGTTACAACTGTACCAGACTTATTTTTTACAGAGCTTTACATGCCTTTATTTATTCCTTTATCGGACCATCCAAACCATGTACTCCGTAGTTCAGTATTTGTAGACCAGTTTCACAAATCAACTTAAGGTATTGTGGCAAAGCTTCGAATAAATGTTTACTGAGACTTTGCACTGAGCTGCGAGTGCCTGCCGAGGCTCTGAGGGGTGGGGTGGGATGGGATCCATGGGATGGGATGGG